TTTTCTCTTCATCTCCACGCGCTTGCCACTTTTTGATACCAATTTTGTATGACAAATGTAACAAACACTCAAAAAATCGTATCCACGCATGCAAAATTGAAAGCCCAAACTTTAAATTTAAATCATTTGTTTTTATATCTATCATTTTTTCAATTTTATTAAAATCTTTAGATGTACTTCCACACAGTGGCGTGCCGAATATAGGTCTAAATGAAGCCTAGGCATCAAGTTAAAAAGGGGTGGGTGGTTGTTGGATAATATGTAAATCACATAATATGTCGAATATATTTAAGTGGTGAAATATTATGAGTTCTGAATGAGATTAATTTTAATATGTTATTTAATATTATATTATTATTACAACAAGAAGGTACGCATGGCCATATTCACATATTAGGCTATTAATAAAAAGTTAATACAATATACATTGATTCGAACTGCATAAACATACACAAAACACAACCTACAAAAATATAAATGTATGGAATTTCCTATGTTTATACCTAGTATTCTATCGATCGTCAATCTAAGTAGGTACCAACTACCAAGCAAATAGTTATCACTAGCCGGGATGGCTCACTATCGCATTATTTATATTACAAGTATAAAAATAGCACAAAAGTCAAAATTATACCCATTGCTTTGTGTTCATAATATTATGTAATATATTATGTGTGTGTGTGTGCGTGTATCTTTTTACGAAAATTGTTTACAAATTCATTTCATTCCAGTCCCTCACTAATCACTATACAGTATACGGTCATCGAGCAAACATTTATCGGTTTATTTAAACAACTCCTTGTTTTCATCAACGGTAACTGGTAAGTAAAATTATACTATTTAATTATTATAATACCTAATATATTTATATTTTAATGATTAAGTTATTAAAAAGTAATTAGTTTAAAATATGCATATAATTTTAATTTTAATTTATTAATTAATTAATATTTGTATCATAAAACGGTTCCCACAATCCACATAACTTTTCAATCATAGATAGAGGTTATCGAGTACCTATGTGCCTATTTGAAGTGTTTTGAAAAATGAAATTAATTACGAAGCAACCGCACTCGGTGCTCCTAAAATGAAGAAGCATTATTTTGGGGAGTGCAGGTCATAAATTTGTATTTATTATAAAAAACACCTTCTTTGGTTTACCAAAAATAAAATAAAAGTACTGATTATCTATCTATGTGTTTTGGTTTAGGTAGTCGGTACCTGTTTAAAAAAAGTAAATATTTAATGTTTAAATTTCAATTTTTTTTCTGTACTTAAACTTAAATCAGTATAAATGCAGTTCAATTGTTACAGTTTAAAATGGTTAATTGTAAGTGCTGTGGACGCGAAAAAGGAAATATGAATTTTACAAATTGGCAGAGACATATCAATAGCTGCAAACAAAAAAAGCCAGTCATAAATATGTCAATTCATAATTTTTTTTCGAAAAAAATAAGTTTTGAAAATACTAGTAAGTCCTATTCCTTCATAATATGTTTCCTAGGTTTTTATCTTTAAAAGTTTTTACAATAATTATTTGAACTATTGGTTCAATAATAAAAATTGCAATATCAAAATTTCCAATCAGGTATATAATAAGGTGTAATAAGGTATTAACTATGTTTAATGTTAGTAGACCTTCAGTACAACTTAAAAAAAATGATAAACAGATGAAAAACCTTAACCCTACAATGCATGATTTTTTTTTAATAAATTTTTTTATCATCAATAATACCTACAAATGAAGGGAAAAATGTTTAAAAAAATATAAATCATTTTTTTACTTAGAAATAGAAGAGATTATAGTTTGTTGCCATGTGGCAATTTAAGGTACGCATTTACTTAAAATATCATTTTTTAATTTTATTCTTTGTAAAATAAGTATAACAATAAACAGTATAGATGCCTTATATATTTATAGTCAACACAGTAGGTTGGTACCTATAATACAGGTATACATATAATTTATAGCTAAACTATATACCTATATATATATATATATA